ATTCATTCCATACATCCGAGTCATCGCATGTGCAGTTAAATGCATCACAACACTCCGTGTTGCATCACGCAGCGGCAGTTGCCTCACTCAACATGAGCAACGACCGACTAGGGTTCAAAGGTCGGCCCACGAAGGGCTCGAGGCCGCCTTGCGTCAAACAGAGCCAGGGGAGAAAACGCAGATGAGCCCCGAGCAACCCTCGCCCAGTCTGCCCCGAAGCAGATAGGGTCTTCTCAACCTTCTCGTTCGATCCTAACCTCTCACTAAACCCATAGAATCTCCATCGAGGGGAGGCCAGCGGGCCACCCGAGTCGGTCTCCGAAACGACCCAGGCATCTGCTGGGTTGCAGGTTAAGGAGCAGTGGAGTGCCACATGAGGGCTATGCCGGCCCCATCATGAACGATGGAACCAGATTTCACTCAAACATGCCCGTAAGCGAGCTCACCGAGCGCGTCACTCGAGCCATCGAGGCAAGCCACGTTTGCTCAGCCCCTCCAGTTGTGAGAAACTACGAACGGGGTAACGCACAAAACTCAACCGACCCCTACCAAAGCCCAACGGGGCTTTGGGGCTCAAGACACCTAAACGCCAAGATCCACGACTCCATCTCACCCAATCCCAAAAACTGCCTCGGCTGCGCCCGACGCTAGGATCCGCGACTTTGTCTTGCCTGATCCCTAAAAACTGCCTCGGCTGCACACGATGGGTCCACGAGTCCGCCTCACCCGATCCCTCGGCTGCGCTCGACGCCAAGATCTGTGACTCCGTCTTGCTCGATCCCAAAAACTGCCTCGACTGCGTACGATGGGTCCGTGAGTCCGCCTCGCCCGATCCCTCGGCGGCATAGGATGGGTCCACGAGTCTGCCTCGCCCGATCCCTTAGCTACGCCTGATGCCAGGATCCATGACTCTGTCTCGCCTGATCTAAAAAACTACCTCGGCTGCGCATGATGGGTCTGTGAGTCCGCCTCATTCGATCCCTTGGCTACGCCCGACGCTAGGATCCACGACCCCGTCTCGCCCGATCCCTAAAAAACTGCCTCAGCTGCGCACGATGGGTCCATGAGTCCACCTCGCCCGATCCCTCGGCTACGCCTGACGCCAGAATCTGCGACACCATCTCGCCCTATCCCAAAACTGCCTCGGCTGCGCCCGATGCCAGGAACCACGGCGAGTCCGCCTCGCCCGATCCCTCGGCTACGCCCGACACCAGGATCCGCGACTTCGTCTCGCCCGATCCCTAAAAACTGCCTCGGCTGCGCATGATGGGTCTGCGAGTGCACCTCGTCCGATCCCTCGGCTGCGCCCGACGCCAGGATCCGTGACTCCATCTCGCCCGATCCCAAAAACTGCCTTGGTTGTGCACGATGGGTCCGTGAGTCCGCCTCGCCCGATCCCACGGCTGCGCCCGACGCCAGGATCCGCGACTCTGTCTCGCCCGATCCCAAAAACTGCCTCGGCTACGCACGATGGGTCCACGAGTCTGTGTCGCCTGATCCCTCGGCTGCGCCCAACGCCAGGATTCGCCACTCCGTCTCGCCCGATACCTAAATAACTGCCTCGGCTGCGCACGATGGGTTCGCGAGTCCGCCTCGCCTGATCCCTCGGCTGCGCCCGACACCAGGATCCGTGACTCTGTCTCGTCCGATCCCAAAAAATGCCTCGGCTACGCACGATGGGTCCGTGAGTCTGCCTCGCCCCATCCCTCGGTTGCGCCCAACGCCTGGATCTATGACACCGTCTCGCCCGATTCCTAAAAACCACCTCGGCTGCGCACGACGGGTCTACGAGTCCGCCTCGCCCGATCCCTCGGCTACGCCCGACGCCAGGATCCACGACTCCGTCCCGCCCGATCCCTAAAACCGCCTCGGCTGCGCCCAACGCCTTGGTTGACGACTCTAATCTCAACCAAGGTGCACGCACACACGCCCGCTGACAAAAAACCCCTCGGGCGACTCTACCTAAATCACCTGGGGGCCCGGGGGCTACACCCGCGGGTGCGCTCGCGCGCACCCACCGTCAAGACAAAAATCCCCCAGACAATTCTACCCGAATCACCCGGGGGCTCCTGTTGGGTTTATAAACCCGGGGTCCCTCATGGACCGGCTTCCCAACAAAGGCCTGGCCCAGCAAACAATGTTGTGAACGATGCGCAACTCCTAGGATGGCCCAAATACCTAAACGATAGACCAGAAGGGCGATCCAATCTCCGACTAGAAGGCCTGGCTGAGGAGGAACGGTAATCGCTTTCTGACTCTGGCCCGCCTCTCCGACCGGAAGGTCTCACTAAAGAGGAACAGCGCTCGCTTTCGACTCCGGCCCGCCTCTCCGACCGGAAGGCCTAGCCAAACACCACTTCCGACTCCGACCCACGTCTCTGACCGAGGATGCGCCGAACCCCTGCTTACAGCTCTTCTCCGACTGGCGCAGTCGGAGCTGACTTGGACCAACCGATCGGGGACGCCTGCTCGGTGAGGACCAGGAAACGAACGGAGAAAGTAAGGCAGGGCACTCAAGTCAACCGCAATATCGAGAACCGTACCCTGTACACCTGCAAGACAGTACCCTACAACCTTCCTGGCAAGTCAGAACCAAAGCAGTGTTGTGGGCGCCGACATTTTCCCAACAGTGTTGTGGCCGCCATCAACTCCCATACCAGACAAACACGGTAAGGCTCCCCCACTTGCTTCTGGGCATCAACAGTGTTGTGGGCGCTGGCATTTATCATACCAGGCGAACATGGTAAAACTCCCTACATGCCACTGGGCATCAACAGTATGGCAGGCACCGACGTCTGCCATACCAGAAGAAGACGACGCAACCTCCCACATGCATCTGACATTAATAGTATTATGGACGCCTACAATCATCTTGTACCCGATGGCGTGGGCAACAAAACTTAGCATACGTACACTCTCCCTCTCTCACTTGTAAGGCCATCCCCTTCATCTATAAAAGGGGATGCGCTCTCTCCAAAAGGAGCGATAGATCAGTTCACCTACATCGATTCAACCTCTGCTAGCTTTTGACACTCAAAAGCTACACAGAGCACACGCTCGAATACTTAGCATATAGCGGAGCTCCTGTCACTCTTGGCCCTTCAGACCAGAGTCCGACCGGACCTCTTGTACCCCCATCTTTCTCCCTTCCGTTTGTAACCCCACAACAAACTTCGAGCACCTAGGGTCAGGAATAAAGTCACCGACCGACTCAAACTGGACATAGGCCACGTTGCCGGAACCAGTATAAACCCTGTGTCATTGAGTACTAGGTCACATCCAATCACAACGTACGGCAAAACTACAAATATTTACGTGTTGGTCACTTTCTGCACCAACACTCCCACTGCGATCTGACAAGCGGTCCCAGCCAGAAAACTACAGCATATTCTGTAGTTGAGATGGGAGAGTAAGGTTCACCCACTTGTCGCAAGCTACAGCATTAGTTATCAGTATTATGAAAATGCCTTCGTTTTTACCTATTTGGTGGATGCAGAGATGAATATTGTAGGGTCTGCATAATACCATGTAACGGCTGCACCAAAAAAAAACTGCTAGACTTGTCGGTTCTGTGTGTTACTTCTATTAGCTCCAATTTTGTTCACATGTTCCACTTGATGAGTTGAGTAAATGTTGTATGTATCATCAGAGCGGATTTGATTCTTTTGACGATCAGTTTTGAACCGCTTGTCGTGTTATGTTTAACACATGCAAAATGAATTATTGCTCTGGAAGCAGTTATTGATATGTGCACCATGTAGTCTTAAAACCTTCAATTTTATTGAAGAAATCACTCATATTGAAATGCCATATGAGCTTTCTATTGGCATGGCTTCATATGGCACGCAGAGATTGAATCATCAAGCTTTCCCCTATTGGTAAAACTATTTATGGTAGCACTAAGAGGATTTTATTACTATGTTGTGTTTTTGCACTCTTGAGTGCCAGAAAAAAGGGTAAATTATCAAATATCGCACAAGAAATAAATCATATGGGACCTCCTCACTTTTTAGGCCCTTGATATACTTTCTTCAAAACACGACAAATGGCAAATAGATAAGATGGTCGATTCATTCTTCCACATGTCGTGTGTTTGGAATAGTCCAAATATGGTCTAAAGGTGACTTGGTCTCATAGGATCCCCCCCCGGTTCACTCACCTTAGCCACATAGGTGTAGGATTTATTGACTAATTGGGCTACTATGAGTTGTTTGCCGGTCCTTATTGATTTGCAGTCTGCAAGCACTGTCTAGCCACCAATACCACCCTTGCAGTTTTGTACCTTGCAGTTGCAGGATGTAATCTTGCAAGCATCAACTGAGAGGCAGGTTAGATTGTCACACTGTGGGGACAGGGGTGTAAGTAAACAGCACCAAACCTTCATGTTTCTAGCGGGTGAGAAGTTTAAGTTAGTCTATCATCTTCAATTTCAACTCAAGATGCTTTTGTGTCTATGGGAATTGAAATTCGACATCTTAATACTTCAATCAGTTGTGGTGTTATTTTTTAAATTCTAAAGGCTGGAAAATGGTAATACATAAATATTTGAAAGTGTTACCATAGGTAACCCAGACCCTGCTCATGAAAAGTTTGTGTTCCTGCTGTCAACTTGTTTCTGGGCCAAGCTTCAACAACTGATTGTGGAGCTGATATACCTGCTTGGGATCCTTTTTAGGAGAAAAGAATCATAGACACACTGCCTGATACTCATAGATCGTGATATCATTGTTTAAAAAACAACTTAATTAGACCCTTTATTTTTTCCTTGTCCACTTAGTTTTTTGTGTTATGAATGCTAGTGTCACTGTTACTAATGTTCCATTATTATGTCACCAACTTCTAGAATAGTGAACTGTGTTTTTTGCTTGAGATAACTTCATTCATTATCTTATACAGGGCCTTTGAGATGTCGATATGAAGGGAGACCCATAACTTGTATATATATTAGGGTTTAGTTTTCTTCTTTCCATATTTGTTTGGAGTTAGAAGCAAGGCTGCTCATGGCATCTCCGCAAGAATCCAATTCGCTGTGCTTGAAGCGAATGCTTGTTGATGACTGCCTATCAAAAGACTGCAAATCTCGCCGTGTCAAATCTGAGAATGGGCCCTCATTCGATTCATTAGCTAAACGCTGCAACTGTTGCTGCACTCGACCTAACCTTGCCAATGATTGTATCAATTTTCTGAAGAGTGGAGCACCTAGCCGTGTCATGTATTATAAAAAAGGTTTGTGGCTCAATTTTCCAGAGCAAATAATGAAGTCCCTCATCGATGAATTCAAAGGAAATAAATCAAGTGTTGTGTCTGTGATGGATGATGAACCAATTCTTGTTGATTTCTTGTCAATGACCCTGGTCAACCTAAAAACTAGAAATCAGCGGTCTGTTGCCTGGTTTGATGACACTGGCAAGCGTTTCTTTCCTTCTCTGTTCTTTGATGAGGAAAGTGATGAAATGGCCAAACGGAATTCTAGCAATGTTGATAGCACTGCACAGGGAATAATGTTAGATAAGGTTGCAAATTCTCCACCTGAAGTGGTCAAGCAAGTTGTTCTTGAATCTAGTCCGCCAGTCCCTCACAAACCTTCGACTGTGGATGTCTTGCGCAAGAAGATCACATCTGTGGAAAGAGGCAGCGAAAGCTTTCTATTTGTCCAGAAACTTTTCCTCTCTGGTATGGGCCCGTTTGCAACACCAAATAACATACTTCATGTCCACCGCTACTCTCCAAACGATATCACTGCACAATGTAGATTTGAAGCTTTTGAAAGACAGATGAAGTCAACTAAAGAAGCACGTGGTGATGCAAATGTTAAGTATGGATGGCTAGGATCTAGGAAGAATGACATAGTTAGGATTCTTATTAATGGTTTGGGTACCACTGCAAATACTGTTGAGAAAGCAGGTTTGAGTGCTGGTGTATATCTTTCACCAGAAAGCCGAGCCTTTACCAGGTGTGTTTTCCTTGACCCTGTTTTCGTGATTACGGTTCTGTATTTGCTTAATATAATATTATATTTATGTCACATGTTAATTTGTTTCAGTGTCGGTCTTTGTGATGTTGACGAAAAAGGAGTGCAGTATATGTTGATGTGCCGTGTGATATTGGGGAATGTGGAAGCTGTTGAACCTGGATCACAAGAGTCTTTTCCAAGCAGTGAGATATATGATTCTGGTGTTGATGATTGTTCAACCCAAAGTGTTATGTGATGTGGCCATCACATCTGAGCACTCACATCCGTTTAGAGTATCTTGTTAGTTTCAAGCTTGTCCCAAAAGTTCGAAGTAAGATGATTAATAAGACCTTTATCATGTCATATTGAGAAAGTTAGTCTTAACATTCTATTTGGTGCCCTTATTTTCAGATTATTTGCTTGACTTGAAGGGTTTATGGTTTAACCCATCACTAAAGGAAGTTGGAATGGATATTTCTACACTTCAACCTGTGAGGCAACTTGAATCTTGTTATTTGTTCACCATCGGCACACTGGTTTTACTGTTAGATGTATGTCTATTGAATATTGATTACCATGGGACAACAGAAACTTGCTCTCATATCAACTCTGTTCAGTGACCCCCCCCTCCTCTGTGCATCTTACAATGGCAATCGATTTTAGCTTTGGTGTATGGTAGTATTCCATTTATCCAACCAAACAATCTGTTTGCAGGTAATTTATGAAACAGGTGAAGAAGGACCAGCTTCCCCGTGGATATCATTCAGAGTTCTGTTTGCAGTTATTCAAGACAATATATCATCTGTGTCAAGGGAGCTTCTTTTCCATCATTATGAAGAGCTGAAGGTACAATCAGCTTGAAAAGTTATGTTATAAGGTAGGTATTTATTGTGGTTTGTTGGTGTGTGCTGAACCACCGTTTCAATCTTTCCACCTGACAGGAAAGCATAATAACTCGTGAAGAAATGGTGAAGAAATTGATAATAATAGTTGGAGAGAAAGTACTTTTGGAGGCCTTGAAGAAGCTTCATTACTGTGTAAGTTCATAGTTGCTTGCATTTTCTTTCATGTCAAACCTGAGGGAACCTTTCAAGGCTTGTGTTGGTTCTTCTCTTTGCAAGTTCAAGCTTGTATAGGAGGGACTCCGTAACACATTTTATTTCCCAATTTCACCATAATAACCTGTTAAAGGTTGTTTTACAAAATGCTGATTGCATGAGCCTGGCTGCATAACAGAGGGCTTCTTTTCAGTTTCCAAACCCAAACCTGTATCTTTTTTGAAGCAAAAGCAATTGATCTGTGTCTCTTGAATAGTATGGATATGCAACTGTTACCATACAAGTTAGTCATAACAAGGCTGTTATGTGCTTAATCTACTTTTAACATTTCTATAGTTGAATTGTTTGATGGTTCATGGTAAGAGAGATTGATAGGAAATTATCAAACAGCTTCATGCCTCTTGAGCACTAGTGGTTATGTGCAAAGAGAAATTGTTACAATTAGGGGTGTTCAACCCAGTCTAGTGAAAACCTTTCCTTCCTCAGAGTTTAGTTTACTTGCATGTGTATCCTTCCTTTCATCCCCTGCTCCACTTGCTTGGACTTGATGAGTGTGCAGTCTGTAATGGTTTGAAATAACCTGTTTGTCCAGCCGTTGTATAGTATTTTCTTTACTCTTCTCAGGCATGATCTTAAGTATTCCAAATAAGTAATGTGCAGTGCCTTTTTTCTTAATGGCATCTAGCGTCACTTTGTTTTTGGCTTCTGTTGCAGCCATCATTATGGTACAAGCCTTCTGTTGAAGCAGTGTCTAGCGATTCTGTAATGGCAGCACCAGAACAATTATCCTTGGATAAGGCAGGTGGAGATTGTTCATTAACTCTGAGGGTTAACCATGCTGATTCACATGCACCAAATGCTGTGTCTGAACATGCTACAATTCTTAGCACCAAAAGATGTGATACCCTTGCAGCGGATATGGTGCCCAAAGATCAAGATTGTCTGGCACCAAGTGGTGTGCCAGAAACATCTAGTTCTGCTGTTGCCATGTGTGGGGCTTCTACAAGTGCAGAACCCAGGTGCAGAGGTCCTCCTGTACAGATGGTGCCACCTGGAAACTCTGCAACCTCGTGTGCCAAAAACCAAGATTCCTTTGTAGGAAGAGTGGCACCTATAGTTCATGAAGGCCTTTTGAGGACAATTTCTGGAAGCTCTTCATCTCCTGGCTGGGAAGTATGCAAATCTGCCACACCAAACACAGGACGTCCTGGTTATGCTTCTCTAGCACAAGCTAATACCTCCCAAACCCATGGAGTTTCTGCTCCAGGCGTCACTCCTAAGGGCTATGAATCTGCTGACCAAGCTTGTCACATGGAAATTCCAAAACTACAGGCGTGAAACAACTCAATTCTGCACCAAGAATGACACCTGAAGGCCAGAAATTCCTTTCACTGGGTATCGCACCACCTAGCCCAGCACCTCGTGATTGTTAGATAATCTACTGCTACCTTGTGTGAACACAGCAAGGGAAGACGGCGTCGAAAGGTCCCCTGCTGTGACACTGTAGCCGCTGCAGGTGCAGGTGCCGCACGGCTCACCTGCAGCACTATAGCCACATGCAGAGGCCGGCCCAGAGTCAGCCCTGCTGTGTTATCTAATTACTGTTGCAGCATGTGCGCTATATTAGGACTAGATAGATAGAGTTGTATAAATAGAAATACACGGCTACTCAGTAAAGAGAGTTCAGATTTGCCATCTCCCAGATAGAGCTTCGGCCAACGCTGGTGTCTTGTACTGTGTGTGTATGCTCTATTCTCCCTTCTTCTTCAAGCTCTAGCCATAGTGTGTGGGGATGGACAACGCTTGTTCGTGGTCGGCATGGCTAGTGGGTGCTCGGCAACACTAGCGGGTGCTCGGCAAGACCGGTGAGTGGTTCACTCACCTGAGCCGGTGATCCTGTGGGTCAAGAAGTGGTATCGGAGCCGTACAAGCGCCGTCGCCAGACTAACCGCTGGCGATGACAGGCGGTTCGGAGATGGGCGACAGCAGTGGCACAGCTGTGGCTGCCCAGCCACGACCGAAGGTCGTTGTTCGCACGGTGCGGGAGGTCAGCGGCACCAGTTGGCCGACGCTGACTCGCACCAACTATGGAGAGTCGTCGGTGACCATGAAGGTCAAGCTCAGAGCCCGACGGCTCTGGAACGTTGTTGACAAGGGCACCGACAATGAAGAAGATGACATGTCAGCGTTGGAGGCTATCCTCGCTGTTGTACCGGCGAAGTATAGGGAGCCGTTGGGGACGTAGAGCTCGGCTAAGGAGGCGTGGGAGGCTATTACGACGATGTGCGTCGGTTCCGACCGTGCAAAGAAGGCGACGGCCCAGCTTCTGAAGCAGGAGTATGCCAACCTCAAGTTCAAGGATGGTGAAACGGTGGAGGACTTCATCCTCCGCCTGTAGACGCTCATCAGCAAGCTGAAGAGCCATGGCGTCACTATCAACGAAGACGAGGCGATCTCCAAGTACCTCCACTCCTTGCCGGCAATGTACATCCAGATCACTCTCTCCATAGAGACGATGCTGGACTTATCCACCCTCACCATTGAGGATGTGGCAGGCCGTCTGCGGGCAGTGGATGAGCGCTTGGAGTAGGCGACAGCAACGAAGGACAGAGGCAAACAGCTACTGACGGAAGAGGAGTGGGCTGCTCGGAGGAATTCCGGGAAGGCAGCCTCCTCCAGCCGCAGTGGCGATGATAAGCGCGGTGGTAGGGCTTCTTCGGAGAAGAAGCAGGCTGACCTCAACGTCTATAGGCGCTGCAGGAAGATGGGCCATTGGGCACGGGAGTGCCCAAACCGCAAGCAGGAGAAGAAGGCTGAGGCTCATCTGGCGCAAGCTGGTGATGATGATGAGGCCACTATCCTGATGGCGACGTTCTATGCATTGCACGACATCGAGGCCGAGGAGAAGGAAGAGGCGATGATGGTGGAAGGACCTGGGAAGGCCCTGAAGACTGTCAACCTCGACGAACCACACGCCCAAGTCCACCTCGAACGTGTGGGCGCCGACCAGGAGCAACGGTGGCATCTAGACTCTGGTGCCAGTAACCACATAACGGGCTCCAAGGCATCCTTCTCCGAGCTCGACGACAATGTTACCGGTATGGTGAAGTTTGGTGACAGCTCACGGGTGGCTATCCAAGGGCGTGGCACCATCATCTTCAGGTGCCAGAACGGGGAGCACCGCGCGCTAACGGATGTATATTGCATCCCACAGCTGTGTTCCAACATCATCATCATTGGTCAGCTGGATGAGCGCGGTAGCGAGGTACTGATCAAGGACGGAGTCCTTAGGATCAGGGACCGGGAGCAGCGACTTCTTGCCAAGGTGAAGAGGTCCCTAAACCGGTTGTACCTGCTCGACCTGAAGGTAGAGCAGCCGGTGTGCCTGGCGGCAAGGCACATCGAGGAACCATGGATGTGGCATGCCCGGTTCGAACATCTCAGCTTCGACGCGCTTGGTTGGCTGGAGAAGATGGTTCGAGGGCTACCCCACATCAAGCACAGAGGCGAGCTGTGTGACAGCTGCCTGGCTGAGAAGCAGAGGAGGCTACCATTCCCAAAACCGGCCAAGTATCGCGCAAAGGACGCTCTCGAACTCGTCCACAGCGACCTCTGCGGGCCGATCACGCTTGCTACAAACGGTGGTCGGTGGTACTTCCGCCTACTCATGGATGATTGCAGTCGCTACATGTGGCTGCAACTCTTGACGAGCAAGGACGAAGCGGCGGCGGTGATCAAGAAGTTCAAGATGCGTGCGGAGGCCAAGAGCGGCAAGAAGCTCCGCGTGCTGAGGACTGATCGCAGTGGCGAATTCACTTCGGTGGAGTTCGCTGCGTACTACGCGGATCAGGGTGTGGGGCAACACCACACCGCGTCGTACTCGTCACAACAGAATGGTGTGGTGAAGCGACGGAACCAGACGGTGGTCGGCATGGCCCGATCCATGATGAAGGACAAAGGCATGCCGGCAAGGTTCTGGAGGGAGGCGGTGACCACGGTGGTGTTCATCCTCAACCGCGCTTCGACCAAGGCCCTGACGGCAAGACGTCGTTCGAAGCTTGGTATGGGCGCAAGCCGAGCGTGTCCTTCCTTCGTACATTCGGCTGCATCGGCCACGTCAGGAAGACAAAGCCGAAACTCACCAAGCTGGAGGACAGGAGCACACCCATGGTGTTCCTGGGCTACGCGGAGGGTACCAAGGCGTACCGGCTCTATGACCCACGCGGAGACAAGGTGCTTGTCTCATGCGACGTCTTGTTCGACGAGGAGACGGCTTGGGACTAGAGCAGTCCGAGCACGGGGGAAGCTGGCGGCTTCACCAGCACCTTCACCGTCGAGCACTTGGTCATCCATGGTGCTGGAGACGCTGGGGAAGAGGTGTCGAGCACTCCGGTGGTAGAGCCGAGCACTCCTGGGGCAGTGCCGAGCACTTCGAGAGGGATGCCGAGCACTCCGGGAGGAGTGCCGAGCACTCCGGGAGGGATGCTGAGCACGCCAGGAGTGGTGCTGGGAGGTTCTGCAGTGGTGGCGACCACTCCAGGACGGGTGTCGAGCACTCCCGTGGTGGAGCCAAGACGTCTTGCAGTGTTGCCGACCACTCCAAGACTGAGGCTGGGCACTCCTATAGTGTGGCCGAACACTACAGGAGGTGCAGTTCTGCAGGCTGGACGACATCATCGGCGGCACAGGACCCTCAGGACTGGCTGATCGGTTGCTCAATGGCGTAGAGCTTCTGCTTGTCAGTGCTGAGGAACCACCCACGTTCGCGCTAGCCGAGCGCGATGGAAACTGGCGGCGGGTGATGCTGGAGGAGATGAAGGCGATCGAGGAAAACAAGACTTGGCAGCTCATCGATCCACCTCCTGGATGTCATCCGATCAGCCTGAAGTGGGTGTACAAGGTCAAGCGGGACAAGCTCGGCGCCATTGTCAAGCATAAGGTGCGTCTCGTCGCTCGAGGCTTTGTTCAGCGCGAGGCCATAGACTTTGAGGAGGTCTTTGCGACAGTACCGCACATGGAGTCGGTTTGTTTGCTACTAGCTTTGGCAGCAGCAAAGGACCGGCGCGTCCATCACCTGGACGTTAAATCGGCCTTCTTCAACGGCGAACTGGCGGAAACGGTCTTTGGCAAGCAACCTCCAGGTTTCACCGTCAAGGGAGAGGAGCATAGGCTGCTCCGACTGCGCAAGGCACTCTACGGGTTGTGGCAGGCCCCTCGAGCATGGAATGCCAAGCTTGACACCACGCTAAGCGAGCTTGGGTTTCATAGGTGCGCAACCGAGCACGCGCTCTACACGCGGCGCCGGGGGAAGGAGGAGCTCGTTGTCGGCGTGTATGTGGATGACTTGATCGTCACCGGTGCGCGCACAGAGGACATCAACGGCTTCAAGAGCGAGATGACGGCTCGTTTTCGAATGAGCGATCTCAGCGCACTCTCCTACTACCTCGACATCGAGGTGAGACAGGGGAAGGAGGAACTCACGCTCGGTCAGAGCACGTATGCCTCCAAGCTGTTGGAGAGGAACGGCATGGCTGAGTGCAAGCCATGTGTAACTCCGATGGAGGAGCGGCTGAAGCTAACGAAGGCCAGCACCGTGGCGAAGGTGGATGCAACACTCTACCGGAGCATCGTCGGCGGTCTGCGCTACCTAGTCCACACAAGGCCGGACATTACGTTCGTCGTGGGCTACGTCAGTCGCTTCATGGAGGATCCCAGAGAGGATCACTGGGCTGCGGTGAAGCGGCTACTACGCTACGTCAAGGGGACGGTAGATCAAGGGATCATCTTTCCCAAAACCGGCGGGAGTAGGCTGCAGCTCACTATGTTCAGCGATGCAGACTTGGCGGGGGACATCGACGGACGACGGAGCACCTCTGGCGTGCTCGTCTTCCTCTGGTCGGCTCTAATTTCATGGCTGTCGCTGAAACAGAAGGTGGTGGCGTTGTCTACGTGCGAGGCAGAGTACGTAGCAGCGGACACAGCAGCGTGCCAAGTTGTGTGGCTACGCCGGCTGCTGGGCGAGCTAACCAGCGTGGAAGCTCACCCACCAGCACTGATGGTGGACAACCAGCCCGCCATCGCCCTCATGAAGAATCCGGTTCTGCATGACCGGAGCAAACACATCGATGTGAAGTTCCACTTCCTCAGGGACTGTGTCGATGGAGGACAGATCGTCATCGAGTTTCTTTGAAACTGGTCGGCAACTCACGGACGCCCTTACCAAGCCGCTCGGATGTCTTCGACTCACGGAGCTGAAGGAGATGATCGGCATGGAGGGGGTACAAGGGTTAGCAGTAGAATTAGGGGAAGATTGTTAGATAATCTACTGCTACCTTGTGTGAACACAGTAAGGGAAGGTGGCGCCGAAAGGTCCTCCTGCTGTGATACTATAGCCGCTGCAGGTGTAGGCGCCGCACGGCTCACCTGCAGCACTGTAGCCACATGCAGAGGCCGGCGCAGAGTCAGCCATGCTGTGTTATCTAGTTACTGTTGCAGCATGTGCGCTGTACTAGGATTAGATGGATAGAGTTATATAAATAGACATATACGGTAACTCACTAAAGAAGGGCATGCGTTAGAACAGCAGCAGCAATGTTAAAAACTGCGTCATTTCCGTTGGATCAGATCCTTGTTCTGTACATCTGTTCCATGGTTATAGCAATGGTGTAAGCCAGTGGGAATGTATGGATTAGTGTATGTCCTAGGACAGGAATGAATGACCCCGTCGACTCTGAACAATAAACCCTCTCTGATCCCTATGCGTATGGTTGCTGCTGGTGGTCGATCTCGCGTTGTGCATGCTGTGGCCGTTGCTTGGCAGTATTTGTGATGAATTGCTCCTGTTTCTTCTTATACATGGACATCGGGAGATAATGTTCTGAAAATACACAAAAATGTGTGGAAACTGGAAAGTGTTATGGTCTCACAGACACACTATCCTTTTGGCGTTGGAGGTGGAGAGCAAGCCTTGCTGGAAGCGTCATTTGGCTCGGCGCTGGCCAACAATTGCACCGTCCTTTTGGCGGATAGGAGTACAGTCTACAGAAGGTAAATATTATCTATTTCCTTTTCCTTTTTCTTTTTGCAAAAATGATGACGTTGTTGGTGGGTAACTGGTTCCATCTTATAACAAAGGGAAAAAAGAAGAAGAAGATACAGTTGACTCGTTCGAGATGGTCGCTACAAGTTTATGACGCAAGTCCATACGTTAGCGTTTTTGAAGGCATCGCACGTCGCATCAAAAAGAGAAAAACACATGCATGTGTCGAAAATCTACATGGCCATTCATTCGATGGATGGATATTTTTTCCAGGCCTCGCTTTCTTTTCAATGCACAACGTGCGCATTGACGAAACACAGGGACTCGTTTGTCTATGTAGCAGTAGCGGATGGATTACTAACAACATTAGATTAGATTAGATGCTGCTTCGGAATGGAAATATATGTATCGTTTTCGCAGCACACTTGCGTGCAAGATGAAGATGGTGCTCCGCCCACTCGCTTGCCTTCAAATCAGTCTCGAGTCACAGAGACTTGCTGTCGCCCTGCCACCGGACCGCCATGCAATTGCAATATGCATGTGCATCGATATATAGCACGTTGGGTATAGTAGGGGTAGCAATGCAGGATAGTACGTACTACCATTTTTTCTTCTCGTGAGACTATTATATATTACATATGGTCGTCTACAATTAACTTAGATAATGTGTTGCTGTACATACATATCATTACTGCAAGTGGCTTGACCTTGATTTCGACCACGTGCAGTCGATCATCAGTTTTCTTATTTGCCCTGCCTAATCCTATGAACAGATGCAAGTTAGGGATGCGTTACCAGCTTTTGCAGACTCTTTGTGACAGTGGTGGCAAGCATTTAATTTTTTTTGTGCGCAGAAAGCAATTGCTGCTAAACTAGTAGCAGTGTTATGTAAAAAAAAGAACTTGAGGGTCCATCAACATTGCGTTTTCCTTAGTATTCTATATTTTTCTCTAGGTTGTGTACTTGTGTGTATGGCTCCTTATGTGAAATAGGTAACTGGCTTTAGAATTGATGCAACAATCTTGTATTCTTTACTTCATGATCTCTAGCTGGCACCCAATCAGTTACACCATTAATTATATGCTCATGCTAACTTCCAATCTCAACAAACAAAGTAAAGGGTACGTTCTGGTTTGTTGCTGAAAAATTGAGACTTTATTCTTTACATATCAAAAAGCTTCAGAAAGAGATGAGCACATGTACATGTCCGCTATGCTCTTGTATATATTATTTGGTAATATATATGTTAGCATTAAAAGGTTCAATCAATTAGTTGGTCTGTGGATATGAAGAAATCAAGTACTTGAAAATGTAATCCATTCTTGATCATAATATCTGGTAACAGTCAAGTTTGCATCCCTATCAATTGAATTGTATCACTCCAAGCATTGTACGAAATGGTCAATTCATCACATGTCTATAGTGATTTGTAATCAAGAATGTCCACATCATCACTTCAAGTTAAGCCAACATATACCATCTTGAGCACTAAAGTTTCATTAAGGTCATAATATAGACTACAAACATATAATGCAATATGATGCTTTTTTTGCTGATTGACATGCTGTTGTGTGTATCCATATATATGATTCCCGACAAGCTAGGACACATTTGATTCAACAATTTATTTTTTTCATTAGTTTTGAAACAGCAACAGTAATATTATAGCTTATATCCTGCTCAAAAAAATATTATAGCTTATATTTGTTTAACATATATGAAAAGTTTGTCATTAAGAGGAGTTGATAAAAAAAAGGCTTAAGAGAAGTCTGGAATATGCCTAGAGATTTGTCCCTAGACACAAATTCATGGAAATAAGAAATCAATGTACCTAATAAACCATGAATAGTCTTTACATCTCCTAATATATATAGTCCTTTTTCTTTTTTTTTTTAATTTCCTTTTCTGATGGTGGTTTATGTTGGGTTCCAGCTCTATCTTACCTTAACTTTCTTGGGAGACTAAAAGGTTTCATTGTTGTGTTTTTACCTCTGTTGGTTAAGATAGCAAATATTTCCATTTTAAAGATTGGTGTGAATGCTTTGGCTTGCTTGCACAACATACATGAATATCCTTCCTATATACTAGAACGCCCCACTCGTTGCTACGGAAATCGCAGGTGAAATTATACTATTTATATTTACTAATATGAATGAATAAATATCATAATACATGTTAGTGGTTGAGTTTTTAGCATTCTGATATGGACAACTAAATATATGTTAGTAAATGACGTTTGTTTGGTAATATGAATAGCTTGAATGAAGACATAATGGCATGTGTTAGTTGGATGTGTTAGTGGGTGCTGATGTGAACACTTTGCATGTTGAGATAGTTGCATGTGTTAGTGGGATGTTCTAGTAGATGCTGATGTGGACACTTTACATGGCAAGAAAAATTAGTAGTGGGGTTTGAGAATATGTTAGTAAATGATGTTGGTTTGGTAATATGAATAGCTCGAATGAAGATATAATGGCATGTGTCAGTTGGATGTGTTAGTGGGTGCTGATGTGGACACTTTGCATGGCGAGATAGTTGTATGTGCTAGTGGGATGTTCTATTGGATGCTGATGTGGACACTTTGCATGGCAAGATAAATTGCTAGTGGGGTTTGAGAATATAAGATATATAGATATAGATATAGATATAGATATAGAATATAGATATAGATTCTTTGAAGTGCACATAAATGCCATATTGTTAATGCACGCTATCATATCTCAAACAATTTCTCTCTATATATACTCCCCACTGATTCATGTCCATATACAACCAGATCAAAGAAACCATCACTTTTCATCATGGCAACTATCAACGACCATTGCTGGCCAGAACCCATTGTACTTGTACAAATCCTTTCAAACTCGGGTGTGCCCACTGTGCCTCAACAATACATCAAACCTCCATCTGAGCATCCTTGTGGTAGCATAACTAGCATGAATTGTCCTGATCTTAGCATCCCTATCATTGATCTTGCATGCTTCTCTGACATCCCTGAGCATCGCAAAGCGGTGCTAGAAGCAATCGGTGAAGCATGCAAGAACTGGAGATTCTTCCAAGTAGTGAATCATGGTGTGGGCATAGATTCAGTAAAGAGGATGAGAGAGGCATGGAGGGAGTTCTTTGACCTGCCAATGGAAGAGAAAAAGTTATATGCAAACTCACCGGTGACATATGAGGGCTATGGGAGCCGCCTTGGAGTTGAGAAAGGTGCAACCTTGGATTGGAGTGACTATTACTTCCTAAATCTCCTGCCAAATGATATGAAGAACCTTGAGAAGTGGCCAGAGATGCCTCATCACCTGAGGTAATTCATGAATGGGACGATCCGTACCTAGCTTAATTGAACTTTCTATTATGCAATTTGTTTACTATGCATGCATTTGTTTTTATGCATGGTGTCTTATCTTTTGTTATGTTATTAACTGAGTGGTCCAACTTAGAATTCAGGTGTCTTTTGCTTCTATTTCTTATTACCATATCGGTGTGCAGTAATTCAACTAGATCAAATCCATGGAACTTGAAATACAAGATTAAAGAACTAACTCCTATGATGTGCACGAGTGAAAAGCCTTTACATACAAATATATGAATCCTGAATGAAAACTCTTATGTCAAGAAACTTATCTCTTGTGTATGTATGTGCAGGGAGGTGACTGAGAAGTATGCATCTGAGCTAATGAATCTGAGTGAAATATTGCTAAAGGCCATGTCAAGCACCTTAGGGTTAGATGAGGACTACCTTCACATGGCCTTTGGTGGAAGTAAGGGCATCTCAGCAAACATGCGTGTCAACTACTATCCAAAGTGCCCAGAGCCTGAGCTGACCCTTGGCCTCTCCTCTCACTCTGACCCTGGTGGTATCACTTGCTCCTTGTTGACGAAAATATTGAATTATTGCACACCGATAGTAGTTGCCATGCTACTACAGAGCCAGAGCAAACTATTTATACAACTCTATCCATCTAGTCCTAGTACAGCTGCCATGCTGCTATAGTGACTAGATAACACATCAGGACTGACTTCTGCGCCTGTCCCTGCTATGGCTACAGTGAGGCAGGTGAGCCGTTCGGCGCTTGCCTTCTACAGCGGCTACAGTACCATAGTAGGTAGCCTTTTCGGCGCCGCCTTCCCTTGCTGTGTGTTCACACAAGGAAGCAGTAGATTATCTAGCATCCTCCTTTGGTGGAAGTAAGGGCATTGGAATAATTCGGTGAGTGCAAAACCCCTGCACTAAGTCACTAGCATCGCAAGCGTCTCAAATTCGCTAACTCCAATATGTTCCAACATGAACATCTTCACCTTAGGCACTAAGTTATCTTTTCAAAAGCATTTTCCACTTGCATCTGTCCGCGTCACTAGGTCCAATGCATATGCAAAGTTAGTTCACACCTAGTGACACTTATATAGCCGATTAAACTTTGAAGTTCCCCTCATAATAGTATGACTATCTATCCTAAACCCGATCACACACTCTATTGCATCTCGGCCGGTGAAAACAAAACCCTATCTTATAGCTTTGCCTTCGGGCTTGTTTTCACCACTCCATTTTTTCTCCATTTGGATTGATCATCCTCCATCCAACTCCAAGCCTTGCTCACCAAGTCACCATCTTGGTGTGGAATTCACCTCGCTTAATCAACACTTAGTAGAAGGTTAGTCCACTAGTCGTCTCAATTACCAAAACCAAACATGAGGCTTTCACCCAAGAAGGAGAACCCGGAAACTAGTGCAAAATTACAGGATCCATCACAAGAGGGCCCGGCCATTACCACCCTTGGCCAAGGGTGATTGCAACATGACATGGAAGAAGAAGCCACTCCAGGCACCTCCCCAAACCACTCCAAGGAGGAGCCAGATCCAAGCCCCAAGAGGGTATATCCATTGAGGGGGAGGTGCACGTTGTGGTCATAGATTGACGGATGTACACCTTGAAAGGGAGGAGATTATAGGAGAGAAAGGTGAAGGGGGAGGAGGAGGACTGTGCGGGTGCTTGTTTTTGGGTGTTGATGTTGCTCGCCAGATAGCGGCTGCGATAGAACTGAGCATTTTGCGTGCTGGGCCAAAAAATCCCACCCATGATCGTTCCACTAGGCAAGCCAGGATCGATTCCTCGGGCACGGCTCAGGCCTAGGCAGGGTGGCCCTATCATTTTTTAGTACAAAATAGCTCAAATAAATATTCCAAACCGGGCTCGGACCGAGAAAATTTTTTCTAGGCAGCCGGATATGTGCCTAGGCCCTGTCCACTAAGGCTAGTGGGCGGGCCAAACCCTAGCAGGCTCGGGCCAGGCTGGGCTCAATTTGCTGAGGTCTAGACGGCGACAACCAAAGCCACTACCGAATACAAGGGCACTCGGCAAAGCCCCAAAAACACTCAGCAAAGCGTTTGCCGAGTGTTGCACTCGGCAAACGACACTCGGCAAAGGTTTTATTGGCAAAGAGCTGTTTGCCGAGTGTCAAACGTCGAGCACTCGGCAAAGACTATGCCGAGTCCCAAAAAACACTTGGCAAACATTTTTCGGGAAAAAAAAAACAAGTCGCCGGCCACCACCACCACCACGCCCCGCCGCCGGCCACCACCACGCCACCTGCCGGCGCGCTCCTCCCTGCCGGATCCACCATCGGAGGGCACCTCCCCACCAGATCCGCCGCCTCCACGTTGCTGCTCCCCGCCGGAGCCGCCTGCCTCCACGCTGTTGCTCCCCGCCGGATCCGCTCGCCGCCGCTGTGGATCTAATCACCGGCGAGGGAGAGAGTGAGGGAGATGAAGAGAGGAAAAAAGAGGGAGATAGGGAGAGCTGACCTACCTCGGACCCACGCCGGCCGCCGCAACCCCATCTATTTTGGAATGACAACTAGTGCCATTTTGGAGAGTGCATTGATGACGATGGCAATGTAAACATTTTTTCATCGTCAAATTGGTTTTCACTTGTTTTCACTGTCAGGAATGCTTCTATGCATGGGATGCCCACAAACGGTTCTGTCAGGAAAGACAACTCTACAGAAAGCTTCGATATGGAATGTCAAGAGAAACATCCGGACATTATTCCAACTAGCTCATCCCATGAAAGGAAGTTTTCTTTTAGTTCTTGTTCATCAGATGGACTCCTTTCGTCCAAAGAGAGGTTTGTTCTTGTTTACAGGCTAAAGAAAGCATTCTACGTTGTCTCAAGCAGTAGCATGACCAAAGTCAGAAGCAAAAGTGCAAAACCTGTCCTTTTAATAAGACTTCCGTGCGAGCGTTGAAGCTTGCAGCAGTGTCTATGAAGGTTCAGTTAGATAACAGTACCACTTACGGGTTGATGTGTTTCTAAAGTGACTTAGCTTGGGTTTACAGTTATGCACATGTTCCGGCAGCACTGTTTGACTATTTGTGAACAATTTTCCTACTCAAAATCAAGCTGCCCGATTATATATTTCTTCCCATCCCATTATATATATGTTCACATAAATTCACTGGCCTTGAATAAACCAATTAGAAGTAGGTTGTTTTTATATTTATGACAGAATAAATAATATGTAAGCTACACAACCATACCAGAAAGAGCATTACATAAAAACAGGAGGAAACTTACAGATGGTTCTATGTCTATTACCACATTGGCATTTGAGTCCTGTCAACTATTTTTCTTTTTAATCTTCTCTAAAAATGTAGTCAAATCCTTTTATCTTGGTTTACTAGCAAACAAATCATCAACAACGGGCAATTGGTTTCAACATTACATAATTTAACAGAAAATTGATATTAGAAAAGGAATGGAAATTGGGGGGGGAGGGGGCTCACTGGACTGGTGGAGGGCGCCGGCTGCGGGGGCTACCGGCAAAAAGCAGCGAGCGGGGACAACCCGGCGGCGGACGCTGGGAGGCAGGGGCGCCGGGTGGCCGGGCCGCCGTGCGGCGGCGGGAGGGGCGTCATGCCAGGATGGCGGGGACCGGGGGCGGCGGCACGGGAAGGCGGGGGACCAGCGGCGGGGGGTGGCGGCCCAGCGGCGCAGGGCGGTCCAGCGGCGCAAGGTGGGGGGTGGCGGTCCGGCGGCGCGGAGGGCGGTCCAGTGGCGCGGCACGGTGTGCGTGTGTGTGCGGGTGAGTGTGTGAGTGTGTGTGAGTAAGTGTGCGGCCGGATAGGGTAAAACACAAAGGGCTTTGCCGAGTGCCCGCGATTTGGCACTTGGCAAAGTAAAGGTATGCCGAGTGCCAGATTGCGGGCACTCGGCATTGTTTTTTTTAATTTTCAACAGTACGGTACTGGTAAGTGGGGGCCGGCTTGGGTATGTTGCCGATTGTCCACTATAAGACACTCGGCAACTATATTGTTTGTCGAGTGTCGTACAGTTAACACTCGGCAAAATAAATTGATATTTCATGCCCACCCATCCTCCTTCATAACGTGTTTTACTAAATTTGTTACGATATAATTTGAAAATACCTTGTCAAATTCACTCAACAATGCATATTTGATTTTTCTACGAATATTAATCCATTATTTCATGCAGTTATAGCTCAACTTCAATTTATATCAATTAAAATTCTATAATTGCAGTTCATAAATTAAAATTATCAAACAGATCCAAAAAATTACCAAAATTTGACGTGAACCAATCTATGTTGTCTATTACCTATACAAAAAGTTTTGAAGTCAAACCCCAATTCGACTCACTTTGACTACAAATCTTACAGGATCCTTCTCAACGATATGATTCTTCTTCGGAGATGCTTCGGTTTGTAAGCGTCGTACGTGACAAATTATGCGAAACCTTCTCAATTTTTTTCCACAGTCTCCACGTATGATATCAGGAGATCTTGACAAATCTCGTCATTTTCAGACTTCGTTTGCTTTTTTTAGAATTTAAAATCATTCGGCCACACGTTCGTGGTCGTGTTTCCTGAACAAAATATTTGAAACTTCTTTTCATTTCCGAGTAAGTCCCCAAAATGGACTCAATAACATGAATATGATTTCTCCACTCAATTTATTCCATTATTTGAATCACTTGGACTTCAATTTTGACTTAAACCAAAAAAATTCCTCTAAATACAATAAATTAATTAAATATAGCAAACAGATCGAGAAATATATCAAATTTTAACATGTAGTACCACATGTTGTATGTGGAGAGTAGAAAAAGTTTGGAGGGCAGGAGAGAAAAAAATTATTATTTTGTCGAGTGCCAATAAAAAACACTTGGCAACAATATTATTTCGCCAAGTGTCAATAAAAAACACTCGGCAAACCTTGTCTTTGCCGAGTGTCTCTAACGGATACTCGCAAAGTTCTAACGACAGGGCGGCACACCCAACAGCCATCACATGGCTGCCGCACGCCCAGCGCATATGCCTATACTTTGCCAAGTGTCCGTGTTTGCCGAGTGTTTCGTTGTAGTTTGCCGAGTATTTTTTATTAGGCACTCGGCAAAGTTGGGTTTTGTCGAGTGCTATCTGCTTGTCGAGTGTTGAATTCAAAACACTCGGTAAATAGGATATTTACCAAGTGTCCGATGGAATGCACTCGGCAAACCTTTGCGCACTCGGCAATTATACTGTTTCTGGTAGTGCACGTGACACCGCTACTTGTTACACCGTAATAAAAAAACACACTTTGTTTGGTTGGCGCACGCAGCGACTCGTGAGCTACGTAAAAGGATACATCCTAGAGGTGGATGGTAACCCCGTTGCATGCCACCTTATTCGATCCCTCCGTGAACGGTTCGGGACTCCGTGAAACAAACGTGTGGTAACGCGAAGCGATAGCAGCCCAAATGGTTGCGGGAATAAATAAGCCAATCCAAACAGCTTTGGGTAGTCCTCAAAGAAAAGTTTATCTTTAAATTTAGTTACTACTTTAAATTTAGGTACATTATACATTAAGTTATCTTTAGATGCAAATTTAGGTACTACTTTACTTTACCTTTTATAATTGGCATACGTGGATAATTTAGATGCAAATTTAGAGATTACTTTATGCACTTAAAAATATCAGTGCTTGGTACTTTTTTTATAAATCAGAATATATCTAATGACTATTGTTGACCATTATGGTCAGAGCCTACCAAATTAAAGGCCACTTATTTTTTTTATTTTTGTGAGAATTTTAGAGTTTATTTTTTATCGTGTATTGTAAGGCTTGACGTGGTTTTAGTTATTAGTAATAGTAAGATTAGTGCTAAATATTTTGCAAAAAAATTGGGGGGTAAGAAAGAAATAGGCAACATACCTTGTAAACAACTCCGAACCCACCTCTTCCCAGTTCTTGCTCGTCGGAGAACTCGTGGGTGATAAGATTTCAGAAAGTCGAGTGGCAGAAGCATCGGCGTCCCACCACTACGTCAGATTTGCACATCACTGCCGGCCTCATCATTGTCGGATTTGTGAGAACCGGCAGTGATGTACCTTCATTGCCGGTTATGAGCTTGAAAATGAAAAAATGATTGGTGCTGGGCTAAAACCGGCAGTGAAGGACCACATCACTGCCGGTTTGTTGCTTGAACCGACAGTGTTTTGGCGGGTACTCATCACTGCCGGTTTAAGCCAAGAGCCGACAGTGATTGGACACTATCACTGTCGGTTCTAGCCAAGAACCGACGGTGATAAGCCTACAACACAAAAAGGATGCAGCCGTCCTCTCCTTCCTCCTCTCTTCCATCCCGAGAACAGAGGCGCGCGTTTGGACACTTCCCTCCATTGTTGTGGCTGTTCTTCACCATGAAGCTAGTGCTTGGATTTTGAAGAATGGCTTGATCTTTTTGCTTTAAGGTTGGTAACAAACATCCACTTTTTTGATTTTGTTGCTTAATTAGCTTCGTTTTGATAGCTACATTGCTTGATTCTCATTCTAGTTCTTTCTCCATTCTAGAGAGCACTTTTCTAATTGGACATTTGTGCAAGGCTCAAATTGTGGTGAATCCATCATCCAAAAAGTTGATGTCTATGAACACATTTAAATTCCTAGCTAATTATTTCATGGTGGTCAAGATCATCATTGTTAGTATGTGATGCTATAATTAATTCTTAGAAGTAGAGTATAATAGTTGTTCTTCAATATTGTGCAATAATTATTTTTTACTATGATTTTCAATTTACAGGGCCGGGGCTACCAATTTCAATTTTTCAATAATTAGTGTACAATAATGTTTTTTAAAAATGGTACTTTCGAGCTACAATTGTTGTTCATGAAGCTCGATTTCTTATTAATTCTTTGTAATTACTATCTCAGTATTTTTTGTGCAGAGATGGATCGAGAGTGGATGCATCAGTCCCGAACGGACAAGCGGTACATGCATGGCGTCAGCCAGTTTATCACCGATGCCAAAGCCCATGCTAGGAATAGAACCATGTCTTCTGCCCATGCAAAGATTGTAAGAATCATAGGAACTTTCGTCAAATGGAGTCTATACAATCGCACTTGATTACCAGGGGGTTCATGCCAAACTATATGATATGGACTATGCATGGTGAGGTTGGTGTGAATGTTCTGCAGGAAAATGATGATGATGTGGACATGCCTGACGTAGCCATTCATGATGCTGACGAGGAACCCGGTGTCAACACGGAACCTATGGCCACAGTTAATAATGTGTTTAGGAACACGTTAGTTGACGACACCGAGGATAACGATGGCATTTCTCAGCTGCTATGTAATGTAGAGATCGGATGTCTTAGTGAAAGACAGCTGAGAAAGCTAGAGAAAATAAGACAAGATGGCAAAACACCATTGTATAGGAATTGTCCAATGAGCAAACTAGAAGCCGACATCATGCTGTTAGAGTTCAAATCGACAAACGGATTGAGCGATAAAGGCTTCGATCAGTTGTTAGGTATAATAAGGAAAATGCTCTCAAAAAAATGAGTTGCCAGAAAAGACATACTTGGCGAAGCAAATGATCTGCCCCATCGGCCTCGAGGTTGAAAAAATCAACGCGTGTTCCAATAATTGCATATTGTACCGTAGAGAAAAATACAAAGACTTGGACAAGTGCCCCAAGTGTGAAGCTCCACGGTACAAGGAAGTGTCATCAGATGAGGGTACCAAGACCAGAGGAGGTCCCGTAAAGGTCGTTTGGTATTTCCCTATAGCTCCCCGGGTGCATAGGCTGTTTGCATATGCAAAGTCAGCTAAGCTGTTGCGCTGGCATGGCGAAGAGCGTAAGAAAG